CAAACCATCTTCAGGAATACCCGTTTCTCTCCACTGGTTATCAAGGTAGGCAGGGTGACTGGCTCATAGCTCAAGCTTTTTAGTCTGCGATAGAAATTCCATCTAAAGTGTTCGCTAAAACAGTTGTTAAGATTGACTTTGCACATTCTGCCATTCACTGCCTGCCAAGGACTGCATGTACCATGTTGCCTAACACCATGGGCTGCCCAGACTCTGCAGCCTGGGGAGCCAACTTCTAAGAGTTGTGTTTCAGAAATGTTATTGAAATGGCCATTTCCCACAAAGATATACATCATAGAGCCATAGAGTGGTTTGGGTTCAAAGGGACTTTAAAGATCATCCCGTTCCACCCCCCTGCCACAGGCAGGGACCCCTTCCACTAGACCAGTTTTCTCCAAGCCCCATCCGACTTGGCCTTGAACACTTCCAGGGATGGGGCAGCCACAGCTTCTCTGGGCAACCTGTGCCAGTTTCTCACCACCCTCATAGTGAAGAATTTATTTCTAATATCTCCCCTCTTTCAGTTTAAAGTCATTCCCCCTTTGTCGTATCAGTAGATGTTCTTGTAAAAAGGACATGCAGTGTATATATATATATATTTTATTTTTTTTTTCCTTAAAAGCATGAAGACATCTGAAGCACTGAGGTTTCTTATGAATCAGAAATTCTCAAACTCAACAACTCCAACTGGAACCCAGTTTATTTCTGGACTTTGGTATTTGAAGATGAGGTATGAGAAAAACAGAGCTATTTTAACACCTGGTTTCAATCCAGTTAATAACTTTGCACCTGATACATTCTCCGCCATCAAGTCAAATTTATGCTAATACTGTCCTGATTAGCAAATACTATTTAAAGCGGGTTTATGGGATGATTTCTGAGTAAGGTAAGTGTCTAGATTCAGTGAATTTCAGCCAGGGAGCTTATATCCAGTGAATTTCAGATATCAGAATATAAAACAATGTGGATTTCACAAGTTATCTATAGGTATCACTGCAAACAGTTGAATAGCCTACAGGATGACAAGTAGTGACAGCTTAGAAAGAGGTCTTTTTCATGCTGGGTAAATCTGCTTTTGCTGAACACAGTGCAGTCTCTAGCATTGGAAACTGCAGAAGTTCAGTTAGCCATGTGAAACTCGCTCAGTTCTGAAGATATGTCTTGATACAAGTAGGTCCTTAAGCAGTTCCAAAACTGGATTGCACAGGCTGTGTTCTGCAGGGTTTAATGAAAGGTGAAGCAAAGGGCACCGAGCTGACAGGCTCAGCACCAAAACTGTGTATCTCCTTCTGAAAGAGCCTTAGGTGGTGACATCTCTGGCCTCTGCACTTGTGTGTCACAGCATGGTGTGGGCAGACCTTAACTCATTTGATAAATCATATTGTATCCTGAAAGACATTTTTTCTTCCTTTTTTTTTGCTTGTGGCAATAATTTCACATCTACAACACTCTGCTTCCCTTCAGCATCTAGAAAAAACAGCAAAGGCACACAAAGGATACATTTTTGTCCTGCTTAGATTCATTTCAGCTCTCAGGGAAATACCTAGTAATGCATTTACAACATGCTGTTTTCAAAGCACTACCTATTGAAATATTAATAACCTGTGCATGTCAGCCCCATAGTGAAGCAGGTGATTCCATATCTCTACTAGTTCAGAGAAGCATGGGTAAATACTTTGAAGGAAAGGATAATTTTCAGTGCTGAACACAAGTAGCACATCTTCCTGCTCAACAGAAAAGGACATCCCACATTAATTCACCCAAGCATGCACACAAAGTGGGAGTTAGACCAGGAAATGTGCAATCAGGTCACCCAGTTTAAAGGCACTAAGGGCCAAAGCACACACCAAACAGTACACTTACTCTGCAGTTGGGCAGGTTTTTCCAAGCAAGGGAAGTGGATCAGTAGCTACTTTTTATGGCAAGTACCACTGTATTCATTTTAGAATCAGAGAGACTACATGTATTTTACAGGCCAAGTCTGTCACAACATACAAAAGCAGATACTATTTTCTTCCAAAATGACAGTGCTGCTGCTTACCTAGTGGATGAGAGGCAAGACTATCTCCTTTTCTCTCTCAGGGAATTCTTATCCACAGCTCCTGACTTTCTGAAAATCATTTTGTTCCTCAGAGCGCCCAGATGATGATGAGGATTAGAGGTATTCACTGCCTTTCTAGCTGAAGCTGGTTTTCTCTACAGAAGACCCAATTAATTAAAGACATCTTAGGCTAGAACACTATCATATTGATACGCGGATAGACTCCACAACTCGTTAGAGTTGTAAAGTAGGTATGCTTTTTATTCAGCACTGAGACGCACGGGGATAATTCCTCAAAGTCATGCGTACCTCAGGGTTGTTTCCCTCTACATTTATTCTCTAAAGTTATATATATTCATAAGGTTGCACAATACGCCTGTACATATTCATGTCCTATCCCTGTTTCGTATTATAATGAGTTAGAAGGTCCTTTGCGCCTGTGCAGTGCCCCCTCTGGTCATGGGCAGGGGTCTCAAGATGAAGTAAATGAGTCTTCCTCCTGTGGGTAGGGGTCTTCAAGATGAAGTAAATGAGTCTTCCTCTTCTTGAACTTTTCACCTTTTAGTCTTCACATATGGCCTTAGGGTTTGGTCGGTGTCCCAGCCATAAACCATCTGCTTCTCCCCCTTCAGGGGTCTGCTTTTCCTTATCAATAGCTGCTTATCAGTAGAATCAGTCTGTATTTTGTCAATAGAACCAGGTGTCTGCTTTTCCTTATCAATAGTTAGTGCCTTTGTTCTGCTTAGTAGGCATGAGAGGTACAGACAATACTTTTGTTTAAGCAAGCTAATTCCTCTAACCCCCTTGTACAACCCCCTTGTACAACCCCCCTGTACATTGGTTAACCCTGTATCAGTATGTATGCTTGTTGGTAATGTATTCAACTAGAAGTCAGTCCTGTTCAATGTTGTGTTTAAGCAGCTGGCACTACAGCACCCCAATAACTGAGTCTCCAGCCAAGTATGGCTAATATCAGGCTGAATTAATGCTTGTTTTATGCTCCTTCTGGTGCAGTAAGTCCTTGGATTCAAGCACTGTGGTAAGGCAAATGGAGCTCAGCCTCATTTTGCCATTCTGTATTTTCAGTTCTAACCCCTAATGCCTGCCTCCAAGTAGGATGCTAAGCCATCTCTTGGACTTAAGCATCAATACCACATCCTCATTTTGCAACCTCATGCTCAATGGCCAGGACACTCTGCCAGTCTATGGGCAGATCTTAACTCTCCATTTGAGGGAGATCTAAACACATTCTCCCATGTTAGGTGCTAGCTTAAGTACTCATTAACTTGATGTGCAGTATTCTTGGTTCTTTCTGTTGTAACTCTTCCAAACTTAGGGGATAATTAGTTCGCCATTGGATCTGAGAAAAAGAAAGATTCAGAGAATGATTCAGTAATTTAATGGTTGGGAGAGAAAAGACCTGAATTTCCATCTGCCTCACTTAAGTATTTTATGGGCTATATATAGGCTTCAGCTCTTTCCAGAAGGGTTGCATTAGAGAGAAAAGATAAAGCAAGCTAAAATTGAGCTAACAAAAAGGATGTTATTTGTGAACAGACTCAACAAAGTACCCAGCAGAGGAAAAGGGACCTGATATAGTATTACAGAATCATAGAAGGGTTTGGGTTGGAAGGGACCTTCAAACATCACCTAGTCCAACCCCCCTGCCATGGGCAGGGACATCTGGCAGAGGGGCTGTTAACTAGAGGGCTGGAACTAGATGATTTTAAGGTCCTTTCCAACCCAAACCATTCTATGATTCTATCATTCTATGTCAGGTTGCTCAGAACCACATCCAGCCAGGCCTTGAATGTCTCCAGGGATGGTACATCTATGGATAAAGGGACACTACAGACATGTAGGGGGGAAAGTGTAGATGCGTGTAGCCTTGGTCATGGAAAGTCAGCCTGGGCTACAACTTCTGCAGCTACTTTGGGTCCAACCAACAGAGCAGCCTCTGCATGCCGCAGAGCCTCTCGCCACCTAAGCACTGTAAGGTCTCTGCTGCCCATAATGCTATTTACAGACAGAAACACATACTCTTGGAGAGGGTTTGGAGGGCAAATTAATGCTTGATGACAGGGCCCATCCAATCAAGAGGCTGTGACAGCGTTTTTTCCCCCCAGCACTGGCCTGGAGAAAGACGCCTGCCCCAAGGACAGAGGACTACAGACCACCACCGAGCCTGGCAGACCACTGGGCTGGGTATTTTGGGGTACTTCTCACATGCGGGTTGCCACCTGGCGAGGCACAGGCTACCGGATACCGCATAGGGCATCCAAGGATAAAATAAGTGCTTTGACCTGCAGAAGGTGCAGATCCACCTCCCCACAGGCACATCCCTGAGTCTAGGTGGGCTACATCGTGTGCTACCGCCGCCACGTTCTGTGGTGCCCAACCCGGGCAGGGCTTCCCGACTGGGGTTCCCCAGCGGGGCGAGGAGAAGACAGGCGGGTTAGAGATCTGCAGGGCCCGAGAGCCCTCACAGCGAGCACCGGGGATACCACAAGATCCGGGACGTCCAAGCCGCCGCGCAGGGCACAGTCAGGAACAGCGCGGCTGCCTGAGGAGGTACCGGGGGAGCACCCGGAGCCAGGCGCTGTCCTCAGCTCCGGGTCGCTCCACCAGGCCGGGCCGCCTCAGGGGCCAGCCCGGCAGCGGGGCGGGGCGGGGCGGGGCTGGGCGGGGCACACCGTCCCTTAGGCCGCCCTGCCCCGCCCGTACAGGTGCGGCAGCTGGCGCTACCTGCGGGGCGGGGTCCTCCGACGGCGTAGGGATATCACCACCTGCTGTAGCGAGCTGATCCTCGCTACCGTGCCCAAGACAAGACGCGACTGAGCCGCATCGCTGCCGCCCTTTGGGAAACCCGCGAGGAGCGGCGGCGTGCCGGTGCGGCACCTGGGGGACTATTTTTCACACCGTCCCCCGCTTCCTTCAGTCCCGGAGCAGAGCTGCTGTGTGTGTGTGAGGGCTCGAGAGAAAGGGGAAACGGCCGGGGAGGGAGGCGGATGCGTCTGCAGCCGTAAGTAGTTCCGGTTGAGGAAGTCGTCGGTCGCGGCAGCCGGGTTCCCGTGGCTGCGGCAGGGCCGGAGCGCCGCGTCCCGAGCGGTTACGAGCCCGGCCCCGGTACAGCCGCGCCGACCGCCGCCATGGCCACCCGCTCCTGCCGGGAGAAGGCGCAGAAGCAGAACGAGCAGCACCAGGCCATCCTGGCCAAGCTGCTACGGGAGGAGGACAACAAGTACTGCGCGGACTGCGAGGCCAAGGGTACGGCGGGGCGGGCAGGGGAGGAGGGCGGGCAGGCGCAGGTGCGGCGAGCCCGGTGTGTGCCGGGGCGGGGTGGGAGGCCGGCAGCGAGGGCCGGGTAGCGCTGCCGCCACCCCACCCTGCTCCACGTCCGCTGGGGCGGTAGGGCGCTGCCGGCAGCCGGCCCCCCTCCCGGCGCGGTGGGAGGCATATAACCTCCGATGTCGTTGTGAAGAAGCGTTTTCCGCCCCTCCATCAGCTGAGTGGTGGCAGCTGCGTTACCCCAGAGTGAGGACCCCCGGCTGAGGCTGTGGGCAGCGGCTGGCCCAACCCTTTCCTGAACTTTCAGTGCCGCGTCCTCTTCCTGCGCCGGCAGGTATCGATCAAGAGCGGCTGTCAGCGCGCCTTCGGGAAGTTGCTGGCCGAGGGTCGGGATAGGTGCCAGATGAGCTAAATATTGAGCGTCTAAACCCATGCCCTTGAATATAGACTCAGTCACGTAAATGCCAAGCTCTTTGAGTTTGGGTGTCTGTGTCTGGCTAAATATGGCACAGGTTTAGCTTTGGTGGTGAATGAAGATTCTAAAGACTTACACTACTGACAGATCATTAGTCTAATAGTTTTATTCTCCAGCAGAGTAGATACTTATTTATGTTTGTGTCTACCTTGGGTTCTGTGGTCTTGAAATGGAAGAATGTACACATTTCTCATCTGGAGTTGATTCATTAAGATGCTATCCTAAATAAGATGATTGCACAGCAAGTTATTAAGTATCATACTTCCTGAATAACAGCCAGGTGTTTGAACTGTATGGTTAGCTCCAGAATTACCTTGTTTGGTCCTTTTCCACCTCAACTGGAGGTTAAGTACAGCAAGCTAGTTTGAGCAACCAGAATTGACCCTATGTTTGTAATTTCCCTTTTTTTCCTTACTGTTTTCCACCATGGATGTAAATCATGTAGTGCCTTGCACAGTGCTGTTGTTTAATACATCAGAAATAAGACTTTATTTTCCTCGTATGTAACCCAAAGTAGTATGTAATATGGATTACACCAAAAATGATAGGTCTTTATATTTTGCAGGTAACTTTTATTAATCATTTTATGGCACAGCTATTCTTGCCCCCAGGCTTGCAGTTACTGTGTAAAAGACTTGTTGTCACCAATCATTTTCTGGAAGAATCATGCTTGTACGTTTTGTGCATTACTGGCACTTGAGATTTCTATGCTGAATGCTGCTCTGAGTGGCTTGCTGATGGAATTCCATATGTGTGTTGTTCCGTACCATATGCCTCAGAGCTGGGGTTGCTCTGGGCTGTTCCAGAGCCTGGAATTCTCCAACTAATTTTTGTTGTGTCTTCCGAGTTCCCTCTTCCTAACCATCACCTGGTCAAAGGATCGTTTGTAAGCCTCTATGATCTTTGGTATCTTTTGCTGCTTCAGCAGTGCTGACACTGCCACCTTCCTCCCTCTTGTATTTGTGTTAAGGAATCTCTTTATCCACTGTTCTGATCTTTTTGATGCTCTCTCATGTCACAAGAGCATTCTTTCATAAGTTCAAGCTTTGATGTATCTTGAGTTTATTTTTTGTCTCTCAGGTTCTGGAGGATGTACCCGTCTCATGACCAGGCTGCCTTCTGCTAGTATCTGTAACTCAGTTGCCACCTTTCTACCTTTCTAAAAATCTGACAGCACTTCTGAAAGCTTCTGTTTTCTCTTCTGCTCAACCCCACTTCACTCATGCGGTGTCTCTGTATGCCAGAGGTGTGGTTTGCTTTCGCCCTGTCCCTCAGGAAAGCTGACATGAAAATACTGTGTGATGCAATGTCAGCTTACAATATTGAGGGAATTGGTTTTCTTATTATCTTTCTTCTGTCAAGTTTAATTTCCACTTGCCTTCTGGCAATTCTTATTTTAAGTCTTGTATCATATTAGCTTCATAGGGCCATCTGCCTTTGCCTGTGCTGCTGTTGTTAAGTGTATGGTTTTCTTACAGTTGGAGGGGAGACTGTGGAATGATAAACCTATTTTAGCTTCAGCTGTTCTAAAGACACGTGACTTTGTCTGAGAGATGGTCTTATATGGACAATCCATGTAGCTTTCTTAAGTTTAGGAAACTTCCTTGTAGGAATGAGAGTTGTGTGAACAATGTTGAGATGTCTCTTCTGTACCTTGAAGCCTAGGTTTCTTTATACTTCCAGAAGACATGTGGCGCAGAAGAAAAAACATGATCAGTTTAGCTGAAAATCAGGGTTTCCATGTCATGAACACATAATGCCATTGTTGAGCTCTTCCTTGTTGAAACTTCTTCGCTTTTCCTCCTCTTTTGATCAAGAAGGATGCTTCTTGCAGTTGCAGCCAGCTGTTTTATCCTAATGTTTCACACTTAATCTACGTTGGCTGAGTGCTCATGACTTACTGGTGTCTGGCAAAGCTGTAGTTTTGCTAGTCCTGGTATGCAGTGATGTCTGAGGCAGCGATTTTTAACATGGCTCTATTAGCTAACCAGACTGTGTCAGCTGTTTGCATGGCTTTCCTCAGACTGTGGCAGTGTCCTTCATCTCTTGCATCACTAACAACATCCCTTTCATCTCTGGTCATGTTTGTTATTAGTCTGGAGTTCGCTGAGTGGCCCTAGAGATTCTCTTCAGCCATGAGCATGAAGCTGTTCACGACAAAGTATCTAGGACTTCTGTGGTGTCAGTCCTAGGCTGGAACATATGTTTTTACTTTTGTTAATCTAGTTGGTTCTTTTTTCTTTGAAATGCTGTCTGCTTCAGTTTTTTTTTGCTTTCCTCTCTTGCGTGAGCTTTGCTCCTTTGTCATTCTCTTTTTTTTGCTCAGTGGGATCCCCTGAGTTCTGGTTTTTTTTTGTTGTTTTTTTTTGTTTGTTTGTTTTTTTCTTTTTTTTCCTCTTCTGGTTCACCTGATTTTGGGGTAGCAGTATCTTTGTGATTAACTGGTTAATTGAGTTGCAGTTGTATTATTCTGGCAGTACTTAAACCCCTTGTTTTGAGTATGGTCATTCAGATAGGTGGCAGTTCAGCATGGGTTCTTAACCAAAGCTGAGAGACTGTCATCACTAATTCTTTCCTCTCGCTGTATATGTTATAGTCTCTGTTAAACCTTGGGTATTAAGTTTAATTATTATATAAGTGTTCAGATAGTCACATCCAAGGGATACTGAAATTTTGCAGAGTGTACTGGTGTGTCTGTTTTAATTGTTTTGTTTTGGTGTGTTTTTTGTTTTTTGTTTTTTTATTTTGAGGCCTTAGGAATACTTAGGTAGCCAGATATCACTTAAAATCTTATAAATATCCTTTGGCCTTAAAAAATTTAATGTGGTCTTATTTGCGCATTTATCATTCATTGCTTTCACTTTATCTACTGTAATGCCACTGTTGAACTTTTCCTTCATATCGTTAAGGCTTCCCTATTGGCTTTTTACTTCTAACATCAAAAAGATAATCTGAATTTACTTCTGTCCTATTGCTCTTTCACTCCTAAATTAGTGAGTTAGCTCTCCTTGCTCTTAGTATGAGACTACCACCAGCACTGCTTGTGAGGAAGTTTTAAGCATACATCTCTTCTGTATTATCACATGCTTGCTCTGTGTAAGTATTAAAAAAACCTACCTCTTAATCTTCCTCAGAATAATCTTGCTGTCTTTAATAATGTTCTTGTATCAAGAACAAACCCATCCTTTGTTTTCTGGCCAATTTTTTTCAAGTGTGAGGTATGCAAATAACATTAGACAGCTTTGTTCTGCAAATCTTGTAGAAGGTGGAGAATACAGCTGAGGACACATCTGCCAGAGTAAGCATTAAGTAATAATTAGGATTGCTGACTCTGGCAGCAGTTTCTGGAAATGCTTTTAATGCTGTATTTCCCTTTTTAACTGTTAAAATAAAATAGCTGCTATGGATCTGACTGTCCCTGCTAAAATATTTTGGAAGCTACCTGCTGTAGGGCCATACTGTAGTCGCCATATGTCGCCTTCAAACTGTAAGTCTTTACAGCTGCCAGAAAGACTGGATGACACCTCTGTGGAGAAGAAGCCTAAAAAAATCAAAGGTTCTGGAAGAGTCTATGCAATCGCTGAGATTTTTGGATGAGTGAGGAGGCTGGGATGTCATTTGACAAGGCAGTGTTTGTCTGTGTACTGACTCTTCTTTACATCCCTGTCTGAAAGCAATCTATATAAGGCAGTAGATGTCTTCCCAGTGTTATACTACTGGAAAGTAGTTACACTACTGTTCCTAATACTTGTAGGAAATAGTAAGGCATGTTGTCAGTAACATAAGTCATCCTGAATTTTTGGAAGAGATAAGCAATTGAAATTCTTTTTGTGTTCCTTTTGTGTGTATAACTAGGTAAAGCTAGCAGGAATTGGAAGGATCTAAGAGAAAGAAATAGCTATAGATCTGTCTTGTGTGTAGATTATGCTAAAGCTGTTATCAAGCATGTGGCTTCCCCCCCCCCCCCTTCACTGTAGAGAGAGATTAAATGCATTTTTATTATTGTTGCGGTTCTGGTATTTGAATCTTTTAAGCAAGAGCACCTCTTACAGATCTGTCAAATGAAGCCAAATGAAAAACCTGTTAATTTTAACTGGCAACCCTTTACTCTAGGACCTGTAATTTGCTATTTCCATATACTTAGTTCCTAGTTATTACATGCTAAGAAGTCTCCTAGACTTGTGCTACTGCTTGGCAGCAAGACTGGTATTATTTGGGCACTGATACTAAACAATGCTGAATCAAGTACTTGGAAGTTGAAGTGTGTTATGAAGCTCAAAAGGAGATGCTTTTTCTTAGAAGGGGACAAGACATTCAAGTATCAAAGGATCAGCCATCTAAGCAAGTAGATCAGTCAACTGAAGGCTGTCAGTCTAGTTCTGGTGTGACTGTCTCTGCAAATGTGGACCATAAGGCTCCTATTACTGTTCCTAATGATGTTTCAACAAAAGTTATGTTTGAAACCAGTGTGAGTGCTTTCTAGAGTACCTTTTCTTTGTATGCT